AAAAACAACTATATCACTCACCTTGATTTTAGACGACCAAACCTTCTTATCTTCGTAGTTTTCGAGACTGAAACATTGATTAAATTCTTCAAATTAGTTCAAAGACAAAACTGCAAGTATTCAATTCAAGTCAGACTCAAACGAAGCTTTTCGACAGCGATAAATATATCTGATTATATTTCCCCAAAAAGGTTTCCTCGCTCTCAGCCGCAGTCGTGATGACTTACTAAAATCACAGCTACGATGTTTCGATTTAAATGGTGAAAAAAACAAAAACAAAAAACAGTCGGAACTGAAAAAAGGATTGAAGTCTGTTCTTAAAGCTGTTTTAAATCTTCGGGAATACGATTACCGGTCTGATGTGCCCAAGGGGGCAAATCTCAGCACTTTCCTGTTAGGCGCTGAATCAATTCGACATTGTTGAAGTTCAGTCTTTGTGTCCTCGGCGTTTCAAAGACTGACTTTGTTAATCTTATTTTGGTTATTTGGCATATAGTCGTACGAGTGACTCGCACAAACCCTTTGTTAATGATGATTGTCCGTGTCCCGTCAACATAAATAAAACCATTTGATATCTTCTTTGTAGATTCTTTTGTTACTCAGTCAGACCTACGGAACGCTCAAGCTGGAATGTAAACATATGTGATAGCTAGCTTTAGTTCCTGTGTTCCGTGAACAGATTGGATTTCTTTTCTAATTTACTTCAGTGAATAGAAGAAGGGTGTTTCTGATTGTAGAATAGAGAGCCTTCCTTCGGTGTGTCCTTACGTTTCCATTATATTTCATTTCGTTCCATACCATTCGTTTATTTCTGTGTTTTTTTCCTATTTCTCTTTCCTTCCTCCTATTTTCGCTGATGCATTTCATTCTTTCTTTCTCTCTCTTTCTTTCTTTCATTCTTTCTTTCTTTCTTCTTTCTTTCTTTCTTTCTTCCATCCTTTTCATTCATTCTTTCTTCTTTCATTAGAGTAATAATCATCTTCTAATAGCTCCACAATTATCTATCGTTTCCACCATTTTCACCATTTTAATGATTTGTTAAACAAATCAACAGAGCTTGATTAAAATATTGGGCAATCCGTTTATCGAGATAATTGCAGCGGATACATGAACGATGTTCACAAATTGATAAATAATCTCACGTTAAATACGAAGATATTTTCATAACCACATTGCTGTAAGACTAGTAAATCCTCCGGCACAAGCTAAGGCTCTTCATTAGTCAATTAACATTTCATATCATATATATAATTCCGACTCATTACTCTGCGTTATTATTGATATGGAACCAATGAGCTTTTATCAGATATTTTTTAATTAGTAAAGCAAACAAAAATAAATATCATAGCTGATGGAAAACTTCCCACTCATTTTCCTGTTATTTCCTAATATATAATAATTAATGAATGAACGCAACTTTCTCTTATCTTTTTCATGCCATCTTTTTACAGTCTCTCCTTCCCCTGCCGCCTTCATTTCTATTCTTTGGTTCCTTCCTCGTGCATCTCTCTAGCTCTTCTTACACAAATACTAACATTTTCCATTAAAATTTCTAAACTTTATATTTCTCTCTCTCTCTCTCTCTCTCTCTCTCTTCATGTCTACCTCTCTTATGTTATGAAGCAAAATTGTCAATAATATTTAGCATTCTTATAACCACAACTTAAACCAACACTATCTGTTCTAATCAAAACCTAGCCCCACGTAGTGACCTTATCTAGCCACAAAATGTAAATAGAAAATGACATTTATATATATATATATATAGACGAACCTAGACAGCTCTTACACTCGCTAAATCGACTTAACTTTGGAGTCAGAAGGCCGAGTCTAAGGCTGTAGCTGTATTTGAACTGGAAAGCATGGACCTAAGTAAGGACGAATGGCCTAGTAAGGAAATCCTTCTAAAACCACACCTACTAAGGGAACGTCTTTCTAGACAGCTTCAGTGCACCTTACACTCGTAGCAAACCTCTCGTATTTGTAAAGCTAACTAGTCTCCTTAAGGACAAGTCGAATAAAGAGTGGTACTCCAGGCGATCCCGGAGCTATTTCAGCCAAATTCTAACACTTATTCATTTATTAATTCCTTCCTCACTTCCTTCCTTCCTTCCTTCCATTTCTTATTTTATCTTCCCAATCGTATCGTCTCTACCTACTCGAAAAGAGGCGACAATTCATATATTTCTTAATGCATATTTACTCGTCCAGACAATATCAAGCAAACAGCACTTCAAGTTAGAAATAGCTTTTTTTAATGCGTTTTTCACATTCACACAGAATGTCCTCTTTGAAGTCTGGTTTTTATACCTTTTACTTTTCATATTACAAACTTTGGTGTTAGATCAATTTGACAGGAACGCTGAGTTTTGGAATCGAATGCTCTCTAATTCGCATTCAAAACCGCTGTGCTTCTTCATGGCAGACTAGTTTCTCAGGGCTAAAAATCTGGCTTAATCTCGGCGTCAAGACCTTCAAGAATACCAACGGTAATTAAAAGTAAAGAATGGAAAACTTCAACGGTACAAACGCTTTTAAATTCCACGGACTTTCACTCATAGTGGAACATGTGAATATTCTACACAAAATCGAGGCTAACCCTGAACAACCATTTCAAAGAATTCGAAACTTAAGCATTTGCATTAGCTTTACTTAGATTGTCTATCAAATCTGCGTATTTGCCTAAAATTAAGTGACTTTCCTTTAGTTATGTTTTGGTGTTAGTAGTAGGTATTAAGAGAGAATTCTTTTCGTATTCAAACGGTGAGCGCCAAAAACTATTTTCTTGAAGAAAGGCTGTTGTACAAGGCTAAAATCTTGTTATTCAGAAAGTTTAACTTGTTTGGAAGTGGAGATAACCGATGAAAGTGGAATCGAAGTGTTAACCCAAAGCAAAAATTGTATTCGAAAATGAGGTCTAGGCCTTCATTTGCTTATTTCCCATATATTTTCTATAAAAAAGCCTGACAAAGCAACATTCTAACACGAATGCAACAAAACATCTTTGTACAATTGAAAATCAGCCGCTTCAAACAGGCATTTTATCATAGTACATCAGTTTCTAGCTGTTAAAAAAAGGTTTTGAGTGTTAACCCAAAACGAAAATTGGGATCAAAACTCGTACGAAAGTCTAGTTTTTGGCGCTTTTTGCCATTATTGCTCATTATTTTTTAAAAAATTCCTCTTAATCTGTAGTATACTCCAGAGGAGAGTCCATGGTTATCCCATAAGCGCTTGCGCGCTTAGTTTTGACAAGATGGCGGCTATCTTCAAAGAAATTTCAACCATCGTGAGATTTTTTGAGAATATGCCGGAGTTTACTCCGTCTCCAAAAACTCAGCTGGGACAAAGGTATTCAGAGATACTGACAGGTGAAAGCCATATCGATCTATGTAAACGAGACGAGTGGGTCAACTACAATTCATTAGTGGCCCAAACGTCTCGTTTCCACGTCACCGCACATATATGTGTGATTAATTGTTGCGTTAGAATTATGCGATTTACTTCAGCCATATGTCGATGAGGTCTATAGAGCTGTGTTACGGGACGTCTCAATTCCACGTCACCGCTCATATATCTGTGTGATTAATTTTTACGGTCTAATTATGCTAGTTACGCCAGCCATTTTTCGATGAAGTCCATAGAGCTCTGCTACGGGACAGTAATTGTTATGAATGCGAGGCCAACGTGGAAATACAAAAGAAATGCCCAATGTCGAAATTCATCGAGAAAAAGTGTGATTTCTTTTGTATATTCATGTTATCGCGTCCAGGATACTTTCGAGAAGGCGGTCAATGGAACTCCAAGTCTTAGTTCGTGACAGTGTACATGATGTGCTCAGTGTTTGAATCACCAAAAGCCTGGAAGGGTAGGATCAAAACCCAAGCCGTGATTTTGTTGTCACTGGCCAAGGGATGTACTTTATAATAATTACTTTTTGTGACGGAAGATTGTATTAAAATCGAATGACACGTTCTATATTTAGGTGCTAAGCTGGTATTCTTAACGCTAAATAATACTTAGTTCAATTTATCATGACAGCAATGCYTAACGGTATAAATCTGACCGAACTATAAATTTGAATGTCGTACACGTTCAGGTCATATCGGGTGAGTTTTGAGAAGACTGAGAATTCAACGATACACAGCACGACAAGACACAAGACGCAGCAACACACATTGACCACACGACACAACAACACCACACCATACACACACAAAAACACAACACATCATGACAACGGCCAAAAAAGAGAGAGAGAGAAGAGAAAAGGAGAGGAAAGCTGGAGAAAAGACACGGATGTCGAGAGATATTTCAATGCACCAGTATACAATACCACCTTTGGTATACAGCCGACATACCCCATTGAAGCAGGGAAGTGAATGCTTGCATTTTATATAACAGTTTCGAAATGTTTCCTATTAAATCATACTTATTAGGAGGGTGACATGTGACAGTCGCAACTGATAAACATGTGGCTCCCTGTTACTTACGTCTCTGAATGAGACGTGACCGCCATTTTATGTGCGTATTTTTTAGATATTTTTAGAGCAAGGGCAGCACTTTCTCTTCAATTCTTTTAGTTCTCTGAGTGTTGGTCCGGTCAAGGATTGAACCCTCGATCTCGATCGCGCGCCGACCAACTGAGCCATCCGGGAGGCGGTTGTCCAATAGGGTCTCGAAATATTATTCCTCAAGTTTATTAAGCTTTTTCGTAATACACGAAGTGTTCAACTAACGTATACCCACCAACAGCTGTTTTAAAAAAAGTTGGTGAAGGATTTTTTGCATATCAGTGCATATGTTGCATAAGTATAAAGGGCTACACTTTTATCAGTTTGTCTGAAGGTTTTTCCGGAATATTTCCTTTGTGTGCTGACATTCACATCTGAATTTAATATGTTTAAAGCAGCAGCAACGAAACATAGGCTTCATGTAGGCTTTTTTGGTAAAATAGCTCCATATCCATCATTTTTTAGTTTGTACACCATCGAACAAGTTCGATTATAATAAGTAGTTTTTTTTTTTCTTTTCCTTTTTGATATTCAAAATATAGTTTAGC